TCCTACCTATCTATGTTCCTACCTATATATGTATGTATCTATCTGTCTGTCTATCTATCTAATCTATCTGTTCCTATCTATCCCTTCTGTTGTGTTTTTCAGTGTTTTTATGAGTGATGGTCACTCCTTGGCCTGAGAGGTGTCTTGTGTCCAGATTTGGTGTCAGTTCGTCCAGTGGTTTTGGAGTTATGTGAATCCCACAAACTAACATTACATTTTTTTATCTATATAGATTATAACCATGCAGAGTAAAAGTAAAGTTGCAATAGATTGAGTGGGCCCGGTGGCCTCGAATGTGGAAGAGTTTTGTCTATTTTTAACTTTTGGAATAAGGGGTGGATTAATCAAAGTTACATAAATCAAGAGCCGTGGAAAAGAGCCACACAAGTGTGTTTATCTAAGTTTATTTTCCTCCTATTTCTTATGACTCGCTGCCTTTGTGGCATGAATTTATTTCGGAGCATCGGATGGTTGTAGAGACAAAGGTTTTGGTAACCGTTATCCTCATGTGGTGCTTTATTTTAAAAGTCTGGTACCAAAATTTTATATAGCTTATAATATAATATAATATAATATAATATAATATAATATAATATAATATAATATAATATAATACACCATATTTATGTATCCTTCCAATAAGAATAAAGAGAGTAACATAATGTAATAATAATAATAATAATAATAGAGTAAAATAATGGAAATGTAATAATAACAGTAATAATAGAGTAAAATAATAAATGTAATAATAACAATATCCTTCCTTCTTTCCTTCTTTATCTCCTTCCCACCTTCCTTTCTTCCTTTTCTACCCTTCTTTCTTTCCTTCCTTCCTTCTCTCCTTCCCTCTTTCTCTCCCTCTTCCTCTCCTTCCTTCCTTCTCTCTTTCCCTCCTTCTTCTTTCCCTTCTCTCCCTCCTTCTCTCCTTCCTTCCTTCTCTCTTTCCCTCCTTCTTCTTTCCCTTCTCTCCCTCCTTCTCTCCTTCCTTCCTTCTCTCTTTCCCTCCTTCTTCTTTCCCTTCTCTCCCTCCTTCTCTCCTTCCTTCCTTCTCTCTTTCCCTCCTTCTTCTTTCCCTTCTCTCCCTCCTTCTCTCCTTCCTTCCTTCTCTCTTTCCCTCCTTCTTCTTTCCCTTCTCTCCCTCCTTCTCTCCTTCCTTCCTTCTCTCTTTCCCTCCTTCTTCTTTCCCTTCTCTCCCTCCTTCTCTCCTTCCTTCCTTCTCTCTTTCCCTCCTTCTTCTTTCCCTTCTCTCCCTCCTTCTCTCCTTCCTTCCTTCTCTCTTTCCCTCCTTCTTCTTTCCCTTCTCTCCCTCCTTCTCTCCTTCCTTCCTTCTCTCTTTCCCTCCTTCTTCTTTCCCTTCTCTCCCTCCTTCTCTCCTTCCTTCCTTCTCTCTTTCCCTCCTTCTTCTTTCCCTTCTCTCCCTCCTTCTCTCCTTCCTTCCTTCTCTCTTTCCCTCCTTCTTCTTTCCCTTCTCTCCCTCCTTCTCTCCTTCCTTCCTTCTCTCTTTCCCTCCTTCTTCTTTCCCTTCTCTCCCTCCTTCTCTCCTTCCTTCCTTCTCTCTTTCCCTCCTTCTTCTTTCCCTTCTCTCCCTCCTTCTCTCCTTCCTTCCTTCTCTCTTTCCCTCCTTCTTCTTTCCCTTCTCTCCCTCCTTCTCTCCTTCCTTCCTTCTCTCTTTCCCTCCTTCTTCTTTCCCTTCTCTCCCTCCTTCTCTCCTTCCTTCCTTCTCTCTTTCCCTCCTTCTTCTTTCCCTTCTCTCCCTCCTTCTCTCCTTCCTTCCTTCTCTACCTTCCTTCCTTTCCTTTCTCTCCCTCCTTCTACGTTTTTATTTATATTGATGTTCGAAGTGGAATGATGTCCACGAAATCCTGGTATGGCAATTGAACTCTGAATCCAGGTTGCTTAAGGGTTGCTTTACGATGCAGGTTCATCCTAACTCTTTATTCTCCAATTCCGAAAACTTAGCTTGTTTATAATCCGAATAAGTTTCTGCAGAACTCGTGGCCTAACTGGAATTCCTCTCATTTGAGGAAGGAAAAGAGAAGTGAAGCAATAGTCTTGCGTATTCTGGTCTCTTTTGACACCAGGTTGTCCGTTGCTCACTTCTCTGTAACGGAAAAGGTTGTGTAGCAAGTGGATATCCTGTGTTGTGTTGTGTTCTCTGCCTATGTGAGAGTTGGGTTTCGACCTAAGAGGTTGGATTGCCTCGCGGGGAATGCGTGATCCCGGTTTGTTGTTGGCTTGGGATCCTGGTTTGTTTGGAAAGAGCGGTGGAGCATCCAGATTTGGATCATAGGACAAGTGCTCCTCATCTCTAAGGCGAGTTGGGATTCAACATTTCATCTCCAAAGAGAAAGAATGAGATAAAGTGCTTGCTTTTTCTTTTTTCTTATATTCTAAGATTATAATTATAGTGATGATGTCTTAATGCAGGTTGAGTGTCCCGTACTTTGGATGTTGGAATACCTGTATTTGCACATGAAATATTTGAAGATGAGACTAAACATGGCATTTATTGGGTTATTGTAGGTTTTTTCGGGGTATATGGCCATGTTCTAGAGGCATTCTCTCCTGACGTTTCGCCTGCATCTATGGCAAGCATCCTCAGAGGTAGTGAGGTCTGTTGGAACTAGGAAAAAGGGTTTATATATCTGTGGAAAGACTAGAATGGGACAAAGAACTCTTGTCTGTTGGAGCTAGGTGGGAATGTTTCAACTGACCACCTTGATTAGCATTTGATGGCCTGGCAGTGCCTGGGGCAATCTTTTGTTGAGAAGTGATTAGATGTCCCTGATTGTTCTCTCTCTGTTGTTTTGCTGTTGTAATTTTAGAGTTTGAAGTAATTGCTGTTGTAATTTTAGAGTTTGAAGTAGTCTGCATTTATTTATGGCATTTATTTATGTTTCATACTAGTTTGAGTTATTTGTGCAAATTGTGCAAAATCCATAAGTGTTGTAGGTGAACTACAACTCCCATCATGCCAGGGTTTTATCATTTTATCGTGTCTATTTGGCCTGCCCATCCTGTTTGATTTTTTTATGTTGTGTGAATTTGCTTTATTGTTTTGCTACTGTAATTATTTTCTGATGTGTATTCTGTATTTTATTGTGTTGTTGTTGTAGTAAGACCTGCTACTACTGGTGTAAACGGTGGGTTGGAGGCTATTGTATTGTATTTTTGGGGGCTTGGCCTCATGTTAGCCACCCCGAGTCCCCATTGGGGAGATGGTGGTGGGATATAAATAAAGATTATTGTTGTTGTTGTTGTTGTTGTTGTTGTTGTTGTTGTTGTGTCTGACCTCAAATGCAGATTATTTTCTGTTTAACATTGCTGTATTATTTTTGGGCTTGGCCTCATATTAGCTGCCCTGAGTCCCCATTGGGGAAATGGTAGCAGGGTATAAATAAAGATGATGATGATGATGATGATGATGATGA